CGTACAACTTCGTTTTACCATCTATTCAAGTTTGTAGTTGAAGTACAAATGCGTTATATTAATTTTGTAATTATGTAGTTTAAATACAACGTGTTTCTACCATTTATGTAAGTTTGTAGTTGAAGTACAAAGTCGTTGTACTATAAGTTTCTAGTTTAAGTATAAAGTCGTTGTACTATCTGTGTAAGTTTGTAGTTTTAGTACAACGTGGTTCTACTCTCTATGAAAGTAAGTACAACTGTTTTAGAACTTTAGTTTTTAGATTACAAATAATTATACATTTTCCGCCCATTTCATCAGCTAACGTTGTTTCCATACCTGCAATATTGGCCGCTGTTGCTGTCAGGTCCCGTATGTCTAAACTCGTTCCTCAAGAAGAACTTGGTGAGTGATTTATGCTTTAATATTAGCTATCTACACACATACAAACGAATGATCAAATACAGAGCTGAATGTTTGTTATTCTTGTTCCCAAGTCGGGTTTTCACCTTCACGTTATAAACCTATTAGCAGACTTAAATCGAAATAAATAATAACAATTATTAAGCTTTTGTTTGTAATTAAACACAAAGATACACAATGGGCTATCGGTGCTCTGCCCACCCCGGGTATCGAAACCCAGTTTCCGCAGACATACAGGTGTCCCACTGGGGGGGGGGGCAATTATTAAGCTTTAAAAGTGATTTAGAAAAAATATTACATTTATAAAATTTAGAAATTCAGTTTCAAATATGTTAAAAAACATCATATCGACTAAAAATAGAATCGGAGAAATGTTGACGCGGTAATTTAATGTCCATGTTCGATAAAATGTATGTTTTAAATCTCATTACAAACTTTTTCATATTTAAGTTTTTCTGAAAATCATCCAATATCCGAAGATAGAACAAAAAATTAAGACTCTCTTAAGTTACCGTAAAACTTCCGGTATGTTCATTAGTTTTTTGAAACAAGAAAACTGACTTATTTTTTCAATTTATTTAATGAAATGTTTAACGGCTTGTGTAACTCTGATATATTTTGTTTGAACAACGTATTTATCACCACAGATAAGATAAATTCATATATTAATGCACTCTGTATTCCACAACAAAATACTCTGATAACTCCAAAATTAACACACCATCAGGTTCGTTGGTATTACTTGTGTATCCCATAATATAGATTTTCGCACTTAACCTCTGAAATCCCGTAATTTTAAGATTATTACATTTAAGACAAAATAACCTATTTAAATGTTTGTGTTGGTTCATTTTAAAATGAACATGTTAGAAAATACTTTATTTTATATCTATATACCTTTTCTTTTGATCAAAACCTAAGATTTTGTTATTTAGTGACGTCAAATTATTGTATGTTTGTATACATTTTTAATACATTACGTAAGTTATAAATATAACCTTTACTTTGTAACATCTTCTAGACGTTAAACCCGGGATATATATTTACTTGTTTCGGATATTTGCGCAAAGATACACAGGGGGGTTAGCTGTCCCTAATTTTGAGCTAACAGACTTGAGTGAAAGCAGTTTGTTCCCGGCAACCACTGTCAACCCTTGGATTACTCTAATCAAATAATATGATTTGATGTCACTCGTATAATACACCCCGCACAATTTTGAGGCAACGAGACACGAAATATCAACCCTCGGATTTACAGTCTGGTATTTTAACTATTGATCCTCGCCCTGGAAACCTGAAAGAACAGTACAAGTGTTTTTATACATTTATTCACAGAAAATTTAATAATGTAAGTTATTTGTTAAGCACAGAATCATGTATTACGTAAAAATATGTTTCTTCTTAGTTTCCTTTCTCTTTTATATTTCTTTTTTAATCGAATGAAAATTCCAGTTATTAAATCCAACAATATAAGAAAATGTAAACGTGTGAATCGTTTCCAACCTCGCACAAAAGCTATGTGGCTCGCTGATATTCTATCATACATCTTTTTAGTGTTTATCTGTAAAACCTACTTCAATCTTGAACATGAGAACACTAATATTGTGTTAACTTTTGCTGGCAGTGGTCTACATGTACACCTTTCAAGTTCCTAAAGATAATTAATATTGTTATCCAAAGGTACGCGAGGTACATGATATGATAATTAGTGTTTTTATACAAGTGTTGAAAGTTACTTCATAGTAAAGAAATTCTTACCAAAACGTAGAGAGTATAGGTAGCCACTAGTATATATTATGTATAATATTCTACGTTCTCGTGAGAGTAAGGTATAAATGATGATATATTTGGCCAACCTGTTTTTGGGAAATACAGGATATAAGTTTTGAACAAATTAAATAAGTGATTAAGGAGTTATATACATGTATACTGGTTACTACTGTGAGAGTAAGGAGTAGTAACCAGTATACATTTATATAACTCCTTAATCACTTATTTAATTTGTTCTGATATATTTGGCCAACCTGTTTTTGGAACTACAGGATATAAGTTTTTATAAATTGAGTGAGAGTAAGGTATAAATGATGATATATTTGGCCAACCTGTTTTTGGGAAATACAGGATATAAGTTTTGAACAAATTAAATAAGTGATTAAGGAGTTATATACATGTATACTGGTTACTACTGTGAGAGTAAGGGTGAGAGTAAGGAGTAGTAACCAGTATACATTTATATAACTCCTTAATCACTTATTTAATTTGTTCATAAGTTTTATCCTGTAGTTGTGAGAGTAAGGTATAAATGATGATATATTTGGCCAACCTGTTTTTGGGAAATACAGGATATAAGTTTTGAACAAATTAAATAAGTGATTAAGGAGTTATATACATGTATACTGGTTACTACTGTGAGAGTAAGGTCTCATATAAAGAAAGTCCAATTGAAATGTACACACAATGCAGCAATGTTAACTATCAACAATTCCAGATGTATATAATATGTTTTAAAAATACTGACACAACAATTAAAACAGGATACATTCTAAGGTTTAACGCTACATGCAGTATTTTTTATACTTTTTAAGGCTGTTAATGCAGATACTTACATCCAGTACGCAGCAACAATCAACAAAGAAATAAAATAACGATAATAATGTTAAACAATTTGAGGAAACTACAAAGCAAAATATCCCTTAATTTAGTTTGGACCAACTACCCACATTAAAAACCTTTAACAACGTCTGTGAAAGATAAAGAGTAGAAAAGTTTATTTAGAAGAAGATGAATTTACAAAAGCTATACATATTACATATATCTTGTCTAGTCCTAAACTAAAATATCATAAAGCAGGTTGTTTGTTTGGTTGAAGTTAAGCACAAAGCTACCCAATGGGCTATCTGTG